CTCTTGATTTCTTTGGCAATAATTCTAATGAAGCAGTATTCACTGCCTCAACCAGCTCTGGAGGAGTCCCAGGAATGGAAATTTCATCATCACTTATCATTTTACTTTCGAGAACACCAGCAATTAAATTTATAAGCGTCAAGTTTGACAATTCAACCTCAATACGTTTCCATAGTAACCCAAGTAATTTTATTAGGAATTTCAAAGCACCATTTATTTGGGAATAAAATTATCGCGTTTTTTTTAAATCAATCAATATCTGTCGAATTTTAAATGATTTGCGGAAAAATAGTATGTTTACCTCGTAGGAAAAGCCACATTCCTGGACTCTGTGTTGCTAAGTCTCGGCTTGCGCCTCGACTTAGCAATCTTCACAGTCGTCCAGGAATGTTAAGCTTTTCCTACCCGGTAAACAATGTACTATTGTTTTCGTCATTAATCGGTAATCCAATTTGGTAAACTATTTTCTTTTTTTTTAGCAAACTCCAGTTCTAAAGTTCCGATCTAGAAATATTTTGTTTCGAGCGGGGATTTGTGATTCCCGGTTAGTAATCCAAATACATGGGTATTTTGCCGTATAACTCAAGACTTTTAAGTATGTTTTCTTCAATGTAAACCCAACCATTGTTTGGTTTAGCGGTTAGTTAACTAACACGTAATCTAAAGGTAAACGTAACCTAAAGATATATTTTTTTATTGTAACACAATGATTGATGTATAAACAATGATGAACATTTTAAAATTATTTTTAATTTTAAACAACAAATTCGTTGATCGAGATAAAAAATATCCCATCACCTAAGTTGGACCAACAATTACACTTTCTAAATTGCGTCCTTTCAAAAATATAATCTCAATGTAACTTTTCATTTGAATAAAAATAAATAGCTTTTCCCATACGAGTATATAAATAGAAATACGTGTTTTTTTATGAAAATTTCAGTGTGGAGTAATTTCTGTGAAACAAAATATCTTCGTTTATTCTATTAAATCTACACACTGTATATACCAATACATTTTTCAACACATAAAAATTAACGATAACGTCACCAGATAAACCCAAAAAAGCTTACTCTGCAATTTTAGCCAGATAAAATGATTCAATAGTTAAACAACAGTGTTGCCAGCTAAGTCGAGTCTACAATATGGCAGTATGGTTTAACACATGAGTGATACACACATTCAGTATACTTATAAAAACGCCCTGCACAACAAATGGCTGAATTAAAAGCGACATTACGGACTCATTTTGTTTTAAGATTTGCAGCTATTCTATAATACCCACAAGTTTTGTAATAGATTTGTGCAGTAGGTAGAGGTCTTTAGTTTCTCAGTCAACAAAATTTTAGAAGAAAATAACAATCAGTTAAAAGAAATACATGAAAAACATTATGGACTTCGTATATTGAGTCCATAAATTGCTCGAGTCCGTTGAGTACGGTCAAAACCTTAATGCAAAGTCCGAAATGTTAGGAGGATTTATATATATATATATATATATATATATATATATATATATATATATATATATATATATATATATATATTTATATATAAGCCTTGTTTCAATAGTAACTAAAGTAGTCACGTAATATTTTATAACCGTGGACTATTGATTTTTATATTAATTGTCAGCAATATTAGCATGACGAGATAAAATCTCCCATTTAACTCTAATCTCCAGAAGAAATCGTCAGCTGTTGTAAACATTAAATATAGAACAAGGGAACCGCTTTACCGCTTACTGGATCTATACATATAACCTTCATACACTGACTTTTTAGTGTATTTATATATTTGTAAAAATTTTAATATATTTTAATCATGTAGCCCAGTTATTTACTTCCTAGAAAGCCCTAATATGAGTATAATGCAGAGGTTTTTTTAGATTAAAAACTGTATTAAAGAATGTTCGAATGTTTGGTCTACTAAAACATATTTTAAACAGTTAAGTACAACAAAACGATAAAGTACAACCACTCTATAGGAAATATTTAATTACAATAATTAGCACTTACAAATTTTCACTGATAATTCGCATGCTACTTTTGATACTGCAACTTATTATAAAACGAAGAATGTTATATACCAGGGGTATTTTGAATATATTTATCAAAATAAAAGATATGTTTAATAAAAGCCTAAATTTCATAGATCTGTTTCCTTGGTTGTAACGTATTTATTCTTCGATTTTAATTTATTTATAGTCTTCTAAAATTTATTTTTATTTTTAGTAACACTAGTACTAAAACCACAATTAATTGATACTGTATATTTATATTTACAATTTATTTTATTAACGCTAGAACACTAACCTTAATTTATACTCCCGTAGACACTAACCATTCATAATATTTACGATTTTTTTTTCAATTTCAAAAAAGTAAAACAAAAAATTAAGAGTTAAAAATTTAAAAAATTAATTCTCCTTTTTTTGGAGGGACAGATGTAGCATGTAGTACGTTTGTTAGAAGTTTCATTGAGGTCAGCAACTTCCAAACAAATTTGAAATAAATCGCTAATCAGAAGCTTCACCGAGCTTGGCAATGTCGGCATCGCAAAACGCTTTTCAAGCCATAATCTTGTGAGTTCTTGATGTAAATTTAACATAGGAGCCTTTCTCGTGATTGGTTCCTGATTATTTATTGATAAATTATGATTATATATAATCCAAGAGTTTATACATGCTATGTTAATCATAGCATGGAATATATAAACCTACCATCTTCGAGTTTTTCGGGAGCAACTTCGATGGTCACACATTTGGTTGAAAGTGCACACACTACCCTTTGTTTGGTTATAGTGCAATATTATTTCTGGTTTTTTAGTAGTTGGACAAACAACTGAACAAAATCCACAAGGAAAACAATTCCTGAAGCTGGCTGTATACCACGTTTAAAAGGTTAGTCTTCGTAAATGGGTATATTTATTTAAAAACCCTTGAAAGGGCTACATAAAAAAAAACAAACGTTTTCGGACTAAACAGTCCATCATCAGGTTTAAATTTTAAAATTGCTAGATTAAAATGCCTGAGCCACCAAAATACCTGGGTGTAACTCCAGCAGTTACCAGCTGTTCTCCGTGTGAAGAGGTATGTTACCTGAAGACATATTTAATTTAATACTGAACATCACAGTTTTTTAACAACATGATGTATAATCTTTTACAACTATATGTAATTTAAAGGGTTTTTACCCAGGTATTTTGGTGGCTCAGGCATTTTAACCTAGCAATTTTAAAATTTAAACCTGATGAGGGACTGTTTCGTCCGAAAACGTTTGTTTTTTTGATGTAGCCCTTTTAAGGGTTTTTGAATAAATATACCCATTTACGAAGACTAACCTCTTTTTTTAACAACTGAACCTTTGTGCATTGTCGATAAAACTAGAACGGTTTTGTTCTTTTTGGATTTATACGACACTAACGCCTTCTCTCGGTCAAAGCAAAATTTTTAATTTTGAATTTATCTGTTTTAAGATTAATCATTTCAGGGTGCATCTCTCGTTTATTTTGCCTCAAAGTACCAATAATACAAATAAGGTTGCAATGAGGCTTCAAAAGAGTATCCGCAAGGTTCACTTAAGTGAACCAATTAATTATCCTTTGTTTTGTTTCGGTAACTTCCGTAAATAGTTTCAGTCAACTTTTTAATATAGTACTCTCCTAGAGATTCTTCATTTGTGTGAGTATGTTTGCCGAGGTAAGGGTCTGCGTTCAACATGTACTTTATACCCACGTTGCAAGTCATCACAATTTTAATTTCGTACTTGACCAGCTTATTCAGGATATACATAAAAGGGTACCGGCCCCTAAAAGCTAATAACTGCTCATTAATAGTTACATAACTACCTTGCCAAATCTTAAAAAAAATAATCAGCATTTGTAAATTTTACGAATGGTTAGTGTTCTAGGGTTAAAACTTATTTGATCGACTAACTTATTTGAATTGTAATCGCTCCTATGCATGGACCCCTCATCCTTTTTAAGTTTTAGTAGTTGTACAGCGGTCCAAATAAAGTAAAATTAGCAATTTGGAAAAAAATCAAAGACAGTCGAAACGTAGAGTGGTATCTCCAAAAGAACGACGTTTAGTTCATAAAGTTAACTATTATTTTAATTTAAAACAAAATAACAAAGGTTCATTGACATATATTAAGGCAGTTCAGAAACGCATCTGTAGTGATTGAGGTATCTCAGAGAGAACATTCCGGAGAATTAATAGCATGCGTGAAACTTGCACTTACAATGCCATCTTGTCCAGGTGTTTTGTTGTTCTTCATAGCTGGTAACGCTGATTTAGTTTCCACTTTGGTTATATCTGGAAGTTCCTCTGACCTTTGATTTTGTATTACTGGGATTTCTACCTCTTGAATGTGAGTATCTCGATTATATTATGTTCTGTAGTACTCTTCGATGATTTTCAGAATTTCTTGCTGTTTCTTTGTTTTCACAGGTTTTGTGTAAATTCCTTAAGCTTTACAATGTTCATTGTGTGCTTATCTTTTATTTTCCTTCTTTTTGCATTAGGTTTTTTGTGTCTTCTGTGAGCTTTTTTCCTTACTGAAGTGGCTTGGTACTTCTGTGCCTTCTATAAGGTATTCACCAACATTTCACTGATTTGTTCAAAATTGTCCTCATTTTGCACGTTTTTCTATAGGTCACTCTCTTTTTCTTCCTAGTATGCCTTTGTGTTAGAGTATGTGACATTTTTAGTGATCGCCATATACGTAAGTTTAACAATGCTTTCCAAAATTGTATAATTCTTCTATTTTGGAGTATATACATAGTCATTGAAAGAAAACAATGGTCATTTTGTATAACTCACTATTAAAATTATCAGAACAACCCTCGTAATATCAAGTCAATCATATATTCAAGTGTTACGATGACACACATGCAAGTATTGAAATAAATATTACCTGCTATTATTGTCTTCTGATTAAATTTTGTATAAGACTGTCAGAATCTTTTAACATATTATATGATATTATTAAATACAGTTTCAGGATTTTATTTGCTGCAATGAACTTTATATGGTTTTTACTCTTGGTGGCCGTTATCGATTTTACGGGAGGGAGTTCTACTTCAAAACCACCAAATATTGTTTTTATTCTGGCTGACGACTTGGTAAGTTCTTTAAATATTTTTGCTAAAATTTAAACAAATTAAAGCTTATAAGATTTTAATATGTCCTATAGATAAGAGTTTTAAAAAATAATAAAAATACAGTAAAACCTCTCTTAATATATGTGCTTCTTTTTTATTTAAAAAATAGGGACATATTGCAAAAAACAATCACAATATAATTAAAGATTTCTTCAAAAAAAGTCAAATACTTTACTTTTTCGTGCCTAGATCCGGCTCCGGCTTCAGTTTTTCTGCCCAATATCGGGCTACGTCTACACCCTTTGTATTTGCGAGCCATAAATCATCGAGGGTGCACTGTGATGGGCAAAGTCTGCATACTCTCAGGTGCTCCACGTTCTGTATTTCCCCACATTCACAAAGTGCGTCGCTCTCTGTCTTGATGTCTCATTTAATGAGGTTCTGTTTTACAGGGACAACACCTCTGAGTATGCGGTTGAGTGTCCGGCAGGTTCTCCAGTCCAGTTTCATTCCATTAGGTCGTTCTGAATGTTGGTGGAACAGTTAGAGTGGTTCGACGCTGACATTTCTCATAAACCTTTTCCTTGATCCGTATAATCGGTGCCTTTCATCGAAAGTTTGCCTGAACTTCTTCACATATTGTAAGGCGCATCTACGGTCGTCTGGTGATGCGAATCCAGCTACCCGGTACAGTAGAGGAAGTGGGGTATTCTTCATACAACCGGTAATTATTCTACATGTTTCATTTAACGCCGTGGTGACTTGTTGGGCGTGTCTAGATCTACCCCACACAGGACAAACATATTCCCCTGTTGAGAAACCATAAGGCCTCAGCTGTTGACTTCAAGATTTGGGGGTTTGCACTCCACTTGCTTCCTACAAGTTTCCGGAGAAGGTTGTTTCTCGTAGAAACCTTTTGTCTTGTGCTCTGACAGTGGAATGTATACGTTAGTGACCGGTCTAGTATCACTCCAAGATATTTGGGCCTATCAGTATATACATAGTTGGGCCTATCAGTATATATTTGGGCCTATCAGCATATATTTGGGCCTATCAGTATGTTTCAAGCGTTGTCCCTCATAAAAAACATTCAGTTTTACATGCGCCAGTTTGTTGTTGTAATGGAATGCACATACTTGGGTTTTAGTAGGGTTTGGCTTTAATGAGTTTTGTTTGTAGAAAGTTGACATCATATTCAAAGCCTCTTCCATTGTCGACTCTATTTGTGTGAGTGTTTTCTGCTTTACGGCTATACCAAGGTCGTGAGCTTAAACAAAACTCTCAGTCTGAGGATGCATTGGTTGGTCGTTGGTATAGATGTTAAATAAGGACAGCGCCAGAACGCTTCCTTGAGGTAGGCCATTTTTTGGGGTTCTCCATCTGCTCTTCTTTCCATTTAGCACAACGTAGAAGCCTCCATTACACAACAGTGATCTAATGATATTTACCAAATCATAGTCAAGGACAGTGTTATAGATCTTAGTTAGCAAGGTTCTGTGGTTTATCATATCATAGGCCGCTGTGAGGTCTATCAGGGCTACTCCCACTAGCTCTTTCTGCTCAAATCCTTCCTCTATGTATTCTGTTAGGTTCAGCACTTGGCCTGTGTATGATTTACCTGGTCTAAAGCCTGCTTGTTGTGGGATTAGTTTTGCATCTAATCTTTCCTGAATGGTATAGCAGAGATATCGGACGATAGCTACTCGGTAGTTCAGGGTCTTTTCCAAGTTTCACAAGGACTACCACTTTTGATTTCTGCCACGGTTTTGGAATATGGTAGGAGAGCGACAGATGTTAAATAAATCGGGCACCCATTGTCTCGCTTTTTGCCCGAAGTGTTTTATCTGCTTTGTTAGGATTTCGCCCACCCAGGTGGTTTTCCAATTTTCATACAGTCAATACCATTTTTGAGCTCTTCGATGGTAAATGGGTTTCGCAAGAGAGTTGTTTCGTGGCCTTGAGTTCTTATAATCTTTGGCGTATTGCAACGATTGTTTGTTTTGCCATTCAGAAGCAGTTGGTGGGCTATCTGATTTGGCATTATTGCACATAGCTCTTTCATCTCTGTGGGATCACTATTAAGTTTTTTATCATATTCCAAGCCTGCTTACTACTGTGCGTCATATCCATTTTACTTAAAGTCTCACTCCAAAAGCCAAATATTTGATTGATACTTGACTTCTTTTAAATACGATGTTCAATAAGTGTTACACATTGATTAAAGAAGTTGTAGTCTTATTGTAGTCCTCTTCATAAAATCTGTGAGGTTCAATATTTGCTTTCCAAAAACGATTTCCACTTCGGAAATCGTTTTCTATAAATAAATTGTATTAACGTTTCGTATTTTAAACACGATTTAAACTTAAAAATAAGCTTATTTTAAAGTGACACTGTACCTTATTCCCGATAAAAATAATAAACTGCATTGTGACGTCACAATAAAAAAGCTTGATACAAAATTATTTGGCTCCGTGGCGTCGTCAAAGTAAGGTCACTTTGATTTTAATACTGTGATAACGAGCAAAACAGAACAAGTTTGTTATGCTAAGCGTATTGCATGGGTTCGTGGGTTGGTCTTTCATAAAGCATAATAAATAAAGACAAAGACAAAAATAAGATATTATTTGGTATTTTCCAAATAATATATTTGAAAATATATTTTCGTTTAGATTTTTTGGAGGTAGCATGTGTGAAAATAAAAATTAGTTTTATAAAAGTAAAACAAAAAAAGACAAAATTGGTATAAAAGTATAAAACTTATTCTATAAAAATGAAATAAAATAAAAAATAATTCCAACACTTCTGTTTAAATTAAAAATAATTCCAAACAATTAGAAATTCCAAAACAAAAAAAATTCTTAGGTAATTAATTAAATATTCAAACAGACCACCTAATTGTCATGAACAGTAACCAAATCTATTATACAACGCGTTTCTCATTGCGTTGAGTTCATCTGCCGATATGTTTTGGCTAAGTTAGATTGTCTTTTCCTTCAGTTTCTCCAAGTTGGTGGTTCACTCGAACTCATGCCTGTAAAATTTCGTTTTTAGTATCGCCAAAAATAAAAATCTAGAGAAGCTGAGTCGGGTGACCGAGCCGTCCATTTTATTGTAACGCCTGTACTAATTACACGTTCAGCAAAAATTAACGCTAAATAGTCTCTAACGGCTTTTGAATTATCTGCAGGATAGCCGTTTCGTTGAAACCAAATTTCATTTAAGTTAATTTGAAGACGTTGAAGTGCAGGAATAATTTGATTTTGCAGTAATTGGAGATATTTGACTGCGTTTAAGTTGCACTCAATGAAAAAAGGACCAATAATATGGTCTCCTAAAATTCCAGTCCAAATTTCAACTTTTGTAAATACTGCGTACGCACAGACACACTCAAATAATTATTCTCCTGAGACCAATAATATATAACGGATGGATTATGTTCCTTTTGAATTGTAAAGAAGGACTTATCTGTAAACAAAATTTTTTTCAAAGAATTATTATTAAGTTGTCTGCACTTTATAACAATGGTAGTTTTTGTTTTCAAAATATTCCTTACTGTTTTTGCATTTAAATCAACTTCATCGGCAATTTGTTTACTTGAACACGGCGTCACTTCAGCCAATGCCCAAACTTGAATTGATCCTCTCCAGATTTTTTTATTTTTTGGACAATTTTTTTTGTCTTATGATTTAAAATCTAAAAATAATTATAACCCTAACTTTTTACACTTCTACCATCAACCCCTACTTTTTAATGGTGATATTAGTATCTTTACTTTCATTCACAATCATTACCTATCAACACAGTTTTTGGCCGTATTGGCATTATTATTGTTTGTGCATGGATTAATCGTTACAATGACGTTTATTTGCGACGTTTATTGAAAAAGGTCGGTAAAATAATAAAAGAACAAATGCATTATTAGTATACTGTTTTTCATTAATAAGTATTTTAATTTGATACATTTCTATGTACGATATACAGTGAGCAATGCCAACAAGATACCAAAAGGACAATTTGGACCCTCAAGCGAATACAGCTAAAAAACATGCTAAATAAAAAAGCACAAAGAACATATTCTAGCGAACAAGTCTAACGAACTAATACAATTTTGCGTTTAAGCATAGCACAATTGCGTGAATTACCATCAAAAGAGGCACTAGCTGAACGAAGTCAACAACGTCGATTGAAACAAAGACAAATGGTCCTTTGTCTAGCATTCAAGTGCGAGCCAGGTATTGAATATTACATTTACATTCATTCGAAAGTGACGATTAGTGCTATCGACAAGATATATTCTTATTCTTATGCGCTTATATTCAAAAATTTGTCAGGAATGTTGTGCGTCAGGAAAAGTATAACTACTAGACATTTAAATGCCAACTGAACCATTGAACGACTTACTTGTTGGTACGTAAACAGATTTTGAAACCTATTCCTTAGTCCATTCGAATATTAAATTTGTGCTTTTAAATAACATCGTTGGGTGCAACAAAATAGTCCACAATAATGTGACAAATTATTAAAAATTAATCATTGTTGTTTTGTTATTTTGCGTGGTAAAAAACTTAGATTATTAATGACTTACTTTTTGTTGCTAGGGATGGAACGATGTGGGTTTTCATGGATCTGGTCAAATTCCAACTCCCAACATAGACGCCTTAGCCTACTCAGGCCTTATTTTACAAAACTACTACGTAAATCCTATATGTACTCCTTCCCGAAGTGCCTTAATGACTGGAAAGCATCCGATACATACGGGTATGCAACATACAGTTTTGTACGGAGCAGAAGCTCGTGGATTACCTCTTACCGAGAAACTTCTACCTCAATATTTAGAAGAATTAGGATATGAGAATCATATTGTTGGAAAATGGCACCTTGGATCGTATAAACTAGAGTATACACCAATGTTTAGAGGATTTAAATCACATCTTGGTAATTATTACCACCTTATATTGTTTGTTTGTTTCTAATATATCGTACGTAATTAAAATTAGTTTTTAAGATATATATTTTAATTTTGTGAATTGAAGGGTACAGGGAAAAAGGAGATATGTCAGAAATAACACATTCTGTAATAAGGCGATATTAATACTTCAAAACGGCACAAAGATTATAGTCTTGTCATTTACATTGATCAAGGTATTACCTGAAGTTAAATATAAGGTTTCAGTTGAATTGCAAAAACATAAATTATTCTACTTTCTTTATTTTGCCAAACATTTAGAAATTTTACACATTAATTCAAAATATTAATGTCAAAGAGAAGGTATTTCAAGAAAAGTAGTAACAACGTAGATACAAAAATGTATTTTATTTCAGAAAACAAATCATGATTATTATAAAAATATTATTTATGTAAAAGAACTTAAAAATAGTTTTTCTCCAACAATTTTATAGAGTCTGCAGATTTGGGTATAATGGGTCTCTAAATTATTGATGTGGAAGTTCATCAAAATGACGTTGGGCAGCTGAACCACAAAATTTTTTAGATGCTGCAACTTTGCATATTTCGCTTGAATGATCGGCAGAAGTACTAAAAAATAACAAAAGGAAGCTTTATAAAACTAATTAATTGGGGGGTTTTACCTGTATAAGCATATGGAGGTAGCTCAAATTCCATTTCTGGCAATTTGGGTGTAGTCAATCTCTGCTGTGTCACTGCTGTGGTCTCCTAAGTTCCATTGAATGTTGTTCTGTAGTACAAAAGACGAGGATGATCCCTAACAGCTTTTACCTCTCGGATGGGTAGAGTTAGAAAAGCGCATTTATTTTTATAATGCTTGCGTAAATATTCAGTCCACTTTCGAAAATACTTTTGAGGACATTCTCCAACATGAAACAGTGATGGTTTTTCCTCTAGCAGTTTTATACACTTCTGTCCAGTCTTGAAAAAGTTCGGCTGTTGATGTAGGTTGACCTTGAGTTTGAGTACGTATAAAATATGGACTCAGCTGTAGACAAGACGTGTATATTGAACGAGTATAGACTCAATTGTCTTTTATAGTAAACATCATTTTACTAATATTGGGTATTTGCAGATTTTTTGCAAAATCCATGCATATAGCCTCTGAGTCTACATTTTTTCTACTAGCTATTCTCGCCGCTTGTTTTCTGTTATAAAATGCTTGGGCTCTAATTCAATGTATTATGTTAAATATTAAAAATTGCACTTATAAAAAAATAGTATTATTTCTTTTGCATCAAAACCTGTGTCCACATCTGCCCCGTATAAAATATGTCTTGTCCACACGTGCCTTCCTTAGGGGCACATGAGGACTAATTACATCTGCTTGGAATTTATTGCACGTGCAGTAAATAATTTAATTACTGCCAAATTTAAATGTACACAAAGACTCACAAATATGTAAATCTTACATTGAAGAATCCGATACTTTACAATGAATCGCATTTTGTGGTATAAATTTTTTTTCGAAATTTGTCCACATGTGCCCCCTCTCTCCTACTAAATTGGAAACATAAATCGATCTGTTAAACGATATTTCTGAAGATAATATTATTAATGTATTTGAATGGTGGTAATATTTAAGATTCTCACATGTATAATTAACAATTTCTAAATGGGATATTTTTTCATTTATAGGATTTTGGACTGGTCATCACGACTACAACGATCATACTGCAGTTGAAAATCCAGGATGGGGATTAGACATGCGAAGAAATTTATCAGTAGCTTATGACCTGCATGGTAAATATTCCACCGACGTATTTACGGAAGAAGCTGTACGTATTATTAAAAATTACAGTTCGTCTAAACCTCTTTTCTTATACATTGCGCATGCTGCAGTTCATTCCGGAAATCCCTATAACCCAATTGTAGCACCCGATGTATTAGCTAAAGATTTTACCAATATAGAAGATTATAACAGAAAAAGATTTGCAGGTATGTAATCAATTATTTTACTACGGTGTTGTATATGTGATATAAGTCAGCCTCACCTGCCCGTGTCAATATTGATTCTGATCATCCAGTGCATCCTGATAGATGCACTGGATGATCAGACCACTAAATTAAGGATCCCTATGGATATTCCTAGAGTAATTATATGTCAGACAAAAATGAAGCAAAGACCCTCAGTTTCGAGTAGACCTTTGATGGTCTGAAGTTGCTTAGAATCCCCCTGGTTCGACTTCAATATATAGCGACATGGAACGTCAATAGTTTGTATATCCCAGGAAAGTTACGTAGCCTGCTCAAATTAATGTACTATTCCGGTACCAACGCGACAGATAATTATCACCACAAGCATAGAGTTGTAATAGTGCTTGAAAATAGTATTGATCTGTCTGTTATAGATTACATACTCTGTTCAAACAGAATAATAATAAAAACAAAAAGAGAAATCGTACGATTTCTACCTGGCGAAATCGAATTTAAATCTTAGCAACCGTGCTTTCTAAAACTTGCAAAGCAAACAGTTTGATGAATAAATCGGCAAGGGAATCTAAGATTGCATTCCAAATGCCGTTCATCATGGCCAAAATTCGTAGTGAATTCAATTTCTAGTACTCCAAACGAAGTAAAGAAATAAACAAAATGACGGTATTATAGAATAATAATAGTGAAGTTCGCAGGTCAAACCTGAAACTAAAATTTAAGATAGAAAGATCTGGCTAATTGGTCTTTACCAAAGCCATCTAATTAAATAAAAAAAAAAGATAAAAAAGATATAAATGGAGCAGTAAAGGTCACAAAGAAAAACGATATTAACATCATAATGAGCGATTTTAACACCAAGGTCGGTAAAGGTAGATGTGGTGATGCGGTAGGTGATTCCGGTCTGGCTAATAAAAACGAACGAAAAGAGTTACTACTTGAATTTTGTGAAGAACATGATTTAAGTATAAGCAACACCAATCAGATATAATCCGCTTCCACCATGAAGATTGTATATATGGTGAGCACCAGGGGAGCGTCCAGGTCATATGATGCGAAATCAAATTGATTGAGTCTTGAAACTATATACTATTAGATTGGATCTAATGCGCTTTTTGTTGCTCATCGCTGCACCTCTGGACAATATTCTTCTTCTTCAGCCTGTGTTCGTCCACTGCTGGACATAGGCCTCTTCCATTTGCTTCCATCGATTTCTACTTTTGGCAATTCTCATCCACTGCTTGCCCGCGACTTGTTTGATATCGTCTGTCCACCTCTTCTGCGGTCTGCCTACTCCTCGCCTGTTCTCTCTTGGTCTCCAGTTTGTTAATCTTTGTGTCCATTTTTCGGGATTATCTCGGGCAACGTGTCCGACCCATTGCCATTTGAGCCTTGCAATACGTTCTGAGACATCAGTAATTTTTGTTCTTTCACGAATGACGTTATTTCGAATCCTGTCTCTCAAACTCATCCCTAGCATGGCCCTCATCATTGCTCTTTGGGTTGTTCTGAGCTACTCTAAGGTTTTTTTTTTGTGAAGGCCATGGTCTCCAGTCCATATGTAGTTACAGGCAAGATACATTTGTCATAAACTCTACGTTTTAGACACATTGGTATATCTTTATTCTTCAAAATAAAGCTTAATTTGCCGAAAGCTCCCCAAGACAGTTGTATGCGTCTTTTTATTTCGGCTATTTGATTTTCTTTGCCGATTTTAATGGTATGTCCAAGATATATATAGTGGTCTACATTTTCAAGACTGACGTTGTCAATAAGATTAGTTTGTAAATTACTCATTATTTTTGTTTTCTGGACAATATTAATACTTGCTATTGGCGGTTGTACTGAAAGTGCCTATATATCGCTGTTTCCAAAACAGATAAATATGAGACACCTCCAGACAATCATTCTCTTTAGTCTCAGAGCACAGCTTAAATCGTTGCCAGGTACCCTTCACCATAGGGCTTTATGTCCTGGAGGGCTCATTTCGGGACTCTGCTGTTTATAGCAAGTGCAAGTTTTTAATTTATTTTCTATCACGGTAGCCTCGAGAATCATCTAGGACTCGATAACATGGAAAGAGTCCCACCAGAGCTCAATCCTTTTGATACCGTAGGTATCTGGGATAAGTGAATTTTCCCCTTAGCGGGAGTGTGAGCCGTATGGCTAAACCTGGATAATAAAAAATATATAACTTAGAATAAATAAATATTTAATGGAAATAGAAGTAAATAGAAGATAAATGGACATGAAAACAAATTATTAAAATAATTTATATATTATCAACATAATATATAAATTATATAAATTATGTTGACTACCTCAACAAGCTCATCGGCCTGGGCCGCTCTCCGTTGAATTCCTCCCGCTAATATACCTTTAAAGCACCCTTGAGGATGACATTAACCTTTTTTTATTTTAACATCCACGTCGTGGTGATTGTACGCTGTTTGATAACGTTGTCTGTCTTCCACCTCCGGCACCCATCGGTGGAAGTGGAATTTGGAGATGGGAGTGCGTGCGTTATTATAATTAATTTTTTATTTAGTTTCTAGAATTTTTTGTGTATGCTAAATCGTTTTAAATCCAATTTCTTATCCGACATTAGTAGATAAACGTCATAGCTCCTGTTTATTATCAGTACCAAATTGGATCGATTGAATACCACCTTAAAATTTAAGAATATAATATGATTGTTTAATAATTATGTCAGTAATAACTTTCAATATATTTATTTTAGCTGTTTTAACAAAACTTGACGAATCAGTTGGATCGGTTACAAAGGCTCTTCATGCTGCAGGAAAATTAGAAAATACCATTATAATATTTTCTAGTGATAATGGTGGACCCGCTGCTGGATTTAATTTAAACGCAGCTTCAAATTACCCATTAAGAGGTGTAAAAAATACTTTATGGGAAGGGGGAATACGGGCCGCCGGCTTATTGTGGAGTCCATTGATTAAAAAACCCCAAAGAGTAGCTTTCCAACGATTTCATATAACAGACTGGTTACCAACACTTATTGATGCTGCTGGAGGAAATTCTAGGTAAATAAAGTTAATTATCGGTTTTACTCAGACTCGTCAGAATCATGATCTCATGAGAGTCATGAAAAATGTCGAAAGAAAATGCAAAAAAAAGTATTTTTGAAGTGTGTATATTTTAGGCAATTCCTAGCTGAGCGCTTTCGGCTTTACAAAGCCATCATCAGAGCTATGCTACAATAAAATGTTCTAATAAGTACTAATTGGTAAAGATTGTAATTTTTAACTTACGTCAATTTTTAAATACCACTACAAAGGAGAGATCTCATTTCCTTAAGTTTCACAATTATGATTTTTGTAGGAGTTGGAATTTTTAAAACATATAAAAAACATATAAAAGGTCGACACTGGACGTCACAAACACGTTAAAAAATTGAAAAATTTTTTTGTCATGGTACGGGTTTAAGACCCGACCATCTATTGATGTGAGGATGTAGACTGAATAGAACTAGTGAAATCAAATGTCGGTCCTTTTAAACGATTTTTCAAAAGTGACAGGTGACAAATGTCATATATAGGAAATAGAGATTGTTTTTTTAAATTCTTACAAAATTATTTAGTAGTTTGGAATTACTACTAGTCATCAAAGACTTTCTAAAAATTAAGTTTTTAAAATTAAATTTTATGTGTTCATCACATCATACAGAATGACATTAATTTGTAAATTCACTCAAGTCATTGCTCAAGGTCAATGTATGTTCAATCTGACAGCTATCCTTAAGGAACAAGGGCTCAAATTGTTCAACAACACTATAAAGAAGAAACCTGGTATTAATGTTATGTTATCTGATACTTAAGTGTATTAAGAATTGTATGTCTTGATGGAAAATTGTAAGAACTTTGCATAAAAAATTTTTTTAAGAATGTATTTTCATGTTTCAATTAAGAACAACTGTCAAATGAATTACAAAATGTTGTAAATTTTAATAAAGTTTAAAATTTGTTTAAAAAATAAAAGTATGAAAAATATATAACAAGATTGCATGAGGTCACCCTTCTTCCTCTAAAGTCTCCCATAATAATTTAAAAAGAGGTTTATAGTTGCAATTGAGGTTGATTTGTGTGTTTAAGCAACAATCAGGGTTTATTTTCATTTCTTTGGATATCTCTAGATCTTCCAAGAGATTCATGAGTCTAAAGTTTTTATTAGGAATGTTGTGTAAAATTTTACTGTTTTCAGAAGGAGAAAAAAAAACAGTAAAGTTTTCTCCTTCTGAAAACAGTAAAATTTTACACAACATTCCTAATAAAAACTTTAGACTCATGAATCTCTTGGAAGATCTAGAGATATCCAAAGAAATGAAAATAAACCCTGATTGTTGCTTAAACACACAAATCAACCTCAATTGCAACTATAAACCTCTTTTTAAATTATTATGGGAGACTTTAGAGGAAGAAGGGTGACCTCATGCAATCTTGTTATATATTTTTCATACTTTTATTTTTTAAACAAATTTTAAACTTTATTAAAATTTACAACATTTTGTAATTCATTTGACAGTTGTTCTTAATTGAAACATGAAAATACATTCTTAAAAAAATTTTTTATGCAAAGTTCTTACAATTTTCCATCAAGACATACAATTCTTAATACACTTAAGTATCAGATAACATAACATTAATACCAGTTTCTTCTTTATAGTGTTGTTGAACAATTTGAGCCCTTGTTCCTTAAGGATAGCTGTCAGATTGAACATACATTGACCTTGAGCAATGACTTGAGTAGGTAGATAGTGTTCCTTCTGGAGCGGAAGTGACGTCACACGTCGATCGTCAAGCGTACGTATCCTCATGGGCCAAGGCCACGCCCCCCTCGTGACGTAGGAACGTGCCTAGGGTCTCGAGGCCACGCCCCTCGACCAATGGTGACGTAGGAACGTACCTCGTGTCTCTAGACCACGCCCCTCGGCCAATGGTGGCGTAGGAACGTCCCCCCATGTCTTGCTGACCAATGGTGGACGTTCTCGTGACGTCGGAACGTGTCGTCGACCAATGGCAGCATAGCAGCGTCAGTGGTGGGAATAGCAACACCCCCAGCGACCAATGACAGCTCAGAATTTGAATAAACATCATAGAAATGGCGGTCTAGCGATGAGGAACCAATGGTGACATAGTAACGCCCTCCTCGTGACGTCGGAACGTGTCGTTGACCAATGACAGCATAGCAGCGTCAGTGGTGGGAATATCAGGCCAATGGTGGCATAGTAACGCCCTCCTCGTGACGTCGGAACGTGTCGTCGACCAATGACAGCATAGCAGCGTCAGTGGTGGGAATATCAGGCCAATGGTGGCATAGTAACGCCCTCCTCGTGACGTCGGAACGTGTCGTCGACCAATGACAGCATAGCAGCGTCAGTGGTGGGAATAGCAGACCAATGGTGGCATAGGAACGTCCCCCAATGGCCTGCTGGCCAATGGAGGACGTCCTCGTGACGTCGGAACGTGTCGTTGACCAATGGCAACATAGCAGCGTCAGTGGTGGGAATAGCAACACCCCCAGCGACCAATGACAGCTTAGAATTTGAATAAACAACATAGAAATGGCGGTATAGCGATGAGGACCAATGGTGTCATAGTAACACCCTCCTCGTGACGTTAGAACGTTTTTCTCGACCAATGATGCCACTGAAACGTGTCCTCAACCAATGGCGGACATCCTCGTGACGTTGGAGGCCAATGGTGTGCATCAACGGCCAATGAGAAAGACGTGCATCGACTAATGGTGGAGTCGTACCACAATATTAACGAAAAGACGCCCCCAGTCCCCCCCATTCCCCCCGAAAAGACGTTCCCAGTCCCCCCATTCCTCCCGAAAAGACGCCCCCCCAATAATAACGAAGCTACACGTCCAACGTAACCAATGAGAACGATGTACAATCGCTGGTCGGTGACTGCGTTCTATGAATTGACAAAGAGAAGAAGACGAATGACAGACAAAGAGAGCAATTTTTCCTCGTATTTTTTTGTAATTAAAACCTACAACCATTAGCGTAAAACTTCTAAATTTTTTCAATTTATATTTTACGAGTTACCTCGTATATATTTTATCGATTACCATAATAACAAAAATTCGTTTATTTTTCAATTTATACTTTACATGATCAGTTGAATGCTACTGAGAATAATGACATCACCCGGATACGCCGGCTATTAAAAATGTCTCACGCGATCACGATATATAGCCGGAAACACGTGCACATTCCAATTCGATTATTTAATGTAAGATAAAATATATTCGCATGGAGGCAGGAAGCAGGTGCATAATCCGTTGTATTTAATAATTAAGCCCGGCATGTGATGCATAAATGAATAGTCTTACGAAATATTGCGCAACATAGTTTTAGCGTGGGAGAGGCAGTTAGATAAATAGCAGACGCTATCAATTACTCAGTTATATTTCATGTTCCGCGCTAATACGTCAAATGTTATATAATATGCCACATCCTACATTGAATACTATAAGTCAGGTTGGCCGAGTGGTCAAAGGCGTTGGATCTAAGCTCCGATACCCGAAAGGGTGCGTGGGTTCGAATCCCACACCTGACACATTTTTTTAATAAACTCTTTATTCGTCTTCTTATGCCACGTCCTACGTTGAAATATGTCCTGCGTAGAATGTTACGATATCCCCACTTATACGTTGGAGTGGAGAGGTAAGAAGATATAATTAAAAGTTTTCATGTTCATAGCTTTATTTCGCGAAACGTAGGCATTGCAACATGAACAGTGTGGAAGTAAAAGCTAAAAGTGAAGTGATGCTGCTTAATACTTTGTATAATTTTGAGAATTTAAAAGTATTAGTTGGATTAAGTTCAGCTCAATCATTTGAACCAGGTGTTAAATTAAGCAGCGAGAATAATGAGATATTGTTCGGTATATGTGATTGGATCCGATTCATCGATGAACTTAATCGTAAATATAATCAGTTTTTCCTCATGCCTCTACAATGCTATTGTGAAGATGAACCTCCAGAATGTTGTGAATTTTTAGCAATTGAAACTCAAGCTACAGATCAACTTAAATGGCTCAATGTTAAGAAACTTGGTGTTACTTTGCAGATATTTGAAAAAGATGTTAAGAATCTTATTGAAGGAAACGAGAAGTTAATTTTACCACGCATTCGTTTCCTCGATGGACTGAGATTTTTAGATTACTATTGTAATGCGTTGAAAATTGCTACTTCATTCAAAAACGATTTACAACCAATAGACATTTTATATTCATTTTGTGAGGCTTCTTGTGATACTAGTATTTTAAGTTTAGCATTAAGGGAATATTTGTATTATTATAATGAAGATACAATTAGTGATTTAAATAACAGTATTTTTGAATAAAGGATTAAAACATTTATTTCTTTTTATTATACCATGGTAGTGGGGGTGATTAAGGATATTATTTATATTGACCTATGGAGTGAAAGACATTTATTTCATCAATGTCCACCGTACGGTGTAGATTAGAAGAGTTTTGGGAAAAAATACAAAAGTTGAAGGCGGATATACAGTGGTACGAAGATAGAACCGCAATCGAAAAACAATTTGCAGCGTTCCATTTGTCAGATAGAAAACTAACAAAAACACAATACCCGTTAAAAAGAATTCAACCCACAAGATGTCTCAACTAGCACCATTCATCATTCTCACAGCTATTGCTAACAATGTACTCTATACAAACGTACCAAACAATGTTAAGAACATGGCGATATGTTTTAATGATGTAAAAACTGATTGCAATCGAACTGAATGGACTCTAATGGATCATGAAGTAGTGAATAATGGGTGGCTTCCAGTATTTTTCAAAGCAATACCAAAGTCAGGAGGAACATTCTACAAGATCATGCTAATATCCCCAAATAACACCGAAAGTGATTCAAAATGGTACAAGACTAATAATAATGATGATGATGATGTCAGCAGTCAATTATCAATTATACTCTTAAGCATTATATTCATAATAAATGTTTTTATAGCGAGTAATATCATTATAAAATTTTTTGTAAATCG